GCAAATAGAAATTGAAAGATTGTGGCAAAAGAAAGCAAAGGTAGTATCAAAAAGTAATAGGTGCCTTGGGTGCAGTCCCAAAATAATTGGAGCATCACTTGAATATCTTTGGTATTGACAAATTCATCATCAGTAACTTGTGAAAGACAGCTTTACTTGGAACAGCTTCCATCCTGCAACACCATCAAACAACCATATCTGCCTATCCCAGGTCCTTGAGAAGGACTTGATAAGTGGTCAAAAATGAGAAATCCAGTCTGAACATCTGGCTGACTGTGCAACAAACCACAATAATCATTATAAATATTGTTATGGTAAATAATAAATGGTGGTACAACCACCTGGTCTTTTAAAACTTTTTCAAGCTTGTTATTCTTTAGAAAGATAGGGGAGAAGAGAAAACATACCTTCTTCAAGCTCCAAAATTTCACTGAAGTAAATTTGCAGCAGGTGGCAAGTGTGGCATTGTGCCTGTTGCCAAGAGTTACCAATAAAATTAAAGCCACATTTCAGTTTATTTTTTTTTAATCAACCAAGGAAGATAGAGTGTTAACATGAAGATCCTTTGGGGACAATGTACTACATGACCATAACCCAACTAGTAACATTTGTAGTCCTGTTTGCATAGCAAATGCACTTTTTAATAATGAGAATGGAAAATGTAGAGCAGCTGATGTTGGCAAGAGAAACTGAACTGAAGTGTACTTTCTGTTTGGGGGAATTATTGTTGCTGCAATAACATAGTTTCCCAAGGCATAAAGTCTCCTGAACAGATGGTACTGTGCACACATTGTGCATAAATTGATACCTGTAACCACCTGAAAAGAAAGAAAAAGAATAGAAAAATCTCACCACCTTCCCATCTTGTAAATAAAATGGGACATTCCAGTGATAAGAATTTGGCCTCATACAGAGAGAAACAAATAGAATCCAGTTCCAAATTTAGAATTCTGATTGAGGCTGTTTCTAGCATGTCTGAAATTATATCTCCCTGCCAAAATTCTGCAGGCTGAAAAAAGCCTTTTTATATAAATGCTTCAGCCATCTTTTACCCATCTAATCAAGACAGCAGGGAAATTGCAATGAGTGTGAAAGTCAACATTTAGTGGAAAATTAAAGCAAGGATGAAGCATAATAAGTCATTTAAGCAGAACAGGACAGTTGGTTTTAGGTGTCATGAAATAGCAAAAGTGGTTATTTTTATACTTAGATTACTACATTTACATCAAATTAAATAGCAATGGACAACTCTCCCTTTTCAAATTTTACATACAGTTTAGCAGCACAAAACATTGAGCGTAACATTCTTGGCAAACATTTGGAACATCATTTTCCTATGATGTTTCCTAACTTGTTTTTTCCTTAAAGACGTTTTGCTTCTCATCCAAGAAGCTTCTTCAAAGAAAAAAACAAGAAAGTCCAGTTGCCTCCTGAAAAAGCTCCTTTGGGACAACCACAACATGGATGACTGAGAATCTCCATAGACATTAAGTCAGGTTTCCTATTCAAAAACATTAGCAAGATCTGGATCAACCAAACTAATTCTCTTACAAGCTGATAAGTGCTGCCACTTGCTTGGATACATTTATATTTTTTCCAACCTCCTGCTAAACATTATACACACATTATGTGTGTGTGTGTGTGTGTGTGTGTGTGTGTGTGTGCATACATATGGACATTTTCAGATTTTATTCTCGTCAATGAACAAATGAGATGAATGTAAAAATTAAATGAAATAGATTCATGGTTGGAACCATGAAAAAAAAAACACAGGCATGCATATAAACATTGAAGAAAGAAATAAACAGGTTGTTTGCTGTCATAGAATCATAGAATGATAGAATCATAAGCCAGGAAGGACCTCAGTGGTCTTCTACTCCAACTCCCTGCTCAAGACAAGAGTCTTATACCATTCTTGAAACCCTCCAATGATGGAGCATCCACAACCGCAGGAGGCAAACTATTCCATTGTGTAATTGTTCTCACTGTCAGAAACTTTCACCTTACTTCTAGTTTGTAACTCTCTTTGACAAGGTTCCAACCATTATCTCTTGTCTTGCCTTCTGTGCCCTAGAGAATAAGTCTATCCTCTCTTCTTTGTGGCAGCCCTCAAATACTAGAAGACAGTTATTATGTACCCATAATCCTTCTATTTGGTAGGCTACATCCATCAACCATTTGTTATGTAATTTAGTTTCCAGACCCCTTATTATCTTTGTCTGCATACTTTCCATGGTCAATCCAAGAAGAGAATAACATAATAAAAGCTTTTTAACATTCTCTTGGTAAGCATGCTTTTAACTGGGTAAATATGTGCTTTTCCCTGATTGCTCCTTTAGTTATATTATGTCAAATTAGAGATAATGAAAAGAGTAAGAATTGGAAATCCCGTGGCTTGCAATTCCCCAATGGATGAAAGAATTGGTAGTGCAAAGTTTTGGTTCTGGATAATTGGTTAAGTGTATATTCTAACTGTTCCTCTGCTTGCTGAAGAATAGTCATGTAAAGTTTAATTCATAGTATGTATTCATAAGAATTTTATTTGATTTATATTTCTTTTCAGTGCCTGTCCACTCTAAGATATTGTGAAGGCTTACATGTGTTGCCATTCTGCATGTTCCATATTGACCTTTCATTATCATAGAAATACTAAAGTTTCAGAAATTCTTCCAGGAAGTGATGGAGTCACCCTCAAAGAAGTGAAGATCTTGACAGATAGAAGGGGATTTTCCACTCTGTAAGCCAAATGTATCTGTAGCAGTACTGTTAAATTGATTCCAACAATTCTCACTAGGATATACTGGGGTAAGATGGATAAGATCAGAGATAGTTTCAGATGCACTGGTTTCTTGGCCCCTCAGTTTCTACAAAATAAAACTCATTAACATAACAAGAATAATGTCCTGAGCTGAGGTGCTTCCTATTTTACTTGTAGTCCTATTTCAAAATGGTGTTATACAAGGGAGTATAATCTGGCAATTATACATACACATTACTGCACATATATGACTGGCAGTATAAATATTGGCTGATTACTGCTATCTTTTAAACCAGCACTTCAACAATGTCAAATTGTTGAATTTGTGTTTTTTTTAAAACATGTATCTGATTTCATGATTCTTTTTGAAGTGTACATTAATAATTCTCTTTTATTTTAACTACCTCCTTGGCGATATTTTTATCTTTTTTTTTCCCTTCCCCACCTCTCTGTATTAAACAGCCAAATAGATAAGATTCTGGAGAATATTTTACAATATGTATGATTTTAAGCTCCAGGCAATCTAATGAGAATGGAAATGAGAACAGCGAAACAACTGCAAAATTATACAGTTTCCATTATTGTAGTAGGACAATAATGCCAACACTAGGAATTCCACACCTTGGGTGGACTCTGATGATATGTTTGGTTTGTGCGGTTTGCTAATTTTATTAATTATTATTATTATTTTATGTATCACATTTATATGCTGTCCATCTCGCTATGGAGAATGAACTCTGGCCAGTCTACAATTCAATAAAATAGAAATATAAATTGTAGTTTTAAATATAAAAGCAGTTAAAATTATAGGACATAAATAGAGAAAAAGAGTTAAAACCCGAGAACTCATATGAAGCAGAGATGGTGTCTTTTTCTGTCATATCACCATCCACTTCCAATGTGAAGAGTCTCGAACACAGACAGTCCCAAGCCAACTGGTAGAGTCAGTTCTTGAGGCCCTTTCTGAAGGGAGAAGAACTCACTTTCAATGGACCATGGTGGAAAAGGTTATTTTCCTAGACCTCACCGACAAAATACTGGGCCAAATTATGTGTTTCAGTGTTGTCACATGATCCACATTTCTCTGTGGCTCATAACAAATTTACACCCCACTAGTAAGAAGTTCATAAAAAGAAGGACTCCAATGAAATGTTCAGCATAGGACAGTTAATCATAACTGGAAGCAGTGTAGGGGAAAGTCAAATTTTTACCACTGTTGAATTCTTAGGGGTTTCATTTATCACTGTAAATTTTTGCAATCATTTCTCCTTCTGCTTTAAAGCAAACTTCCTGGAAACAATGGATTATTCATCACACTGTGTATACACAGAGAGATGTATGTGTGGGTGGGTGTATATATTTCCCAGTGGAATTTTGGAAAGGGAAGAGCATATTTTCTTTTTTCCCAAGGGACATAACTTTAGAAGGTATAATATTCTGTATGTGAATAGTATAATAAGCTGAATAAGTGGGGCAGTAGACTATGAATTAGAAACAGCCAAGAGATATTAGGGAAGTTAATGCCTTTCATTGCTGGCTGGTCTCAAAGGATAAATGATATATGCAAGACACTTGGATAATTTTCAATCTTTCTCGTACTCAAAGTATCGTTACGCATTTAGCTGTCTTAATCAGTATGAATGGGGATCTTCATACCCAGCAACTACACTTTATCAGTGTCTTACCAAAATGAAAGGTTTTGAATGCCTGCAAATCTTTCTCATCTTTTTGGACAAAGATATCCTTCAGCTACTATGGCAAGAAGGACACAGTAAGATTTTATCACTGATTTTGAAGGGAGAGGCTGCTGAAAATCTGTATTTGGTCACAGAGTTTTGCAATGAAGTTGCAAAGCATGGCTTGCAGGGTTATTCTTCAGAGCCTGAGGAAGAATAACAGAGTCAGAAGGAATCTTGGAGGTCTTCTAGTTCAACTTCCTGTTCAAGCAGGAAATCCTATATCATTTCAGACAAATGGTTGTCTATTGATTCATTAATCCAGGATAAATGTGCTGCTACTGTAGGAGTCCATTCGATCCCATTTTTCCTGCATTACCCAAGTGGGAAAAATGCTAGTATTACCCCTAAATATTTTTTATTACCTGACATTGGGAAAGATGACCATATTTACTAAATGAAGCTCTGTGTGATTCCAGAACAGGATGCAGCTATAGTTCATGAGATATTTCCGTACATTTCTTTGTTCTTATTTTCCAGAAATAAGAGAAGCTTCTATAACAATCCACGGTATCATTAGACCCATGTCTGCATCACAGGTAACAATGTCAAAATGTCAGTGTTGTGATTCCGACAGATGAAACTCTTCAAAAGAACTTTGAGGCATTGTTTACCTTAAAGAATCTTTTATTGGAGTAGCATAGCTTCAGCACTAACATAGTTGAAGCCAAAATCTGAAATCCCCTCCCCTGAAGACATGGTATCAAAGCACAATTCCCTCTTCCAATTAACAATCACAAATTACATTCCCCAATTAGCTTGAAGCACAGGCTTCCTCTCCAGTTCTCCACCTCACCAATTCTTTATCAGCTCTGAGCTCAATAACCTTGATTCTCATGCTAACTTTAGTGTTGTTATGTCTAGCTAAACTCTCATTCACATCCCCCCCTCCCAGCATCATCTAACTCTAAAAACAAAAGGAAAAAAGATGGCTACATTTCCATCTGTTGTCAATGCAAAACATCCGATGTTAGCAGCATTAACAGTCAGCTGTAAACAGGTGATCAAGATCACACCCTTTCAGGGAATCCCATCATACATATATTGTAATTGCATACTTGCATCATAATGTTTGATATAAGAACATATGCAGTAACATTTCTATAATAACTTCATTCTGTACTTATCATTATTTATCCTGCTTCACCTTCCCTTCCCTTCTCTTATGTAGTCATTCAAGGTAAGAAGAAATTAATGAATCAGAATTATTTCCAATCCACATGACTTCCACATATGCTTACTCAAGTGAGTATATCTAAAAATAGTATGCAAGTGTTTCTTGTTATTGGCTCATTTTTTCCAGAAAGGATCATGAAAATATAAATTGTGAAGTTGCAAAGTGAAGTATAACATCAAGTAAAGTAAAATTAACGCCATAGCATCATATTATCCTAAAACATTTAAATTGAGAAGCCTAATTTATTTAAATGACCTGCATCTGAAACACTTAGGAACACACCAATAAATGGCCAGACAAAAATTACAAAACAAATAGTAAGACAGGTCAATTAAAAGTATTGTTAATGGATTTTTAAAGCTTTTTTAATTTCAATTGAGGAAAAGAATTTTCACTTCTAGGGAGGGATTTGCATAAAACAAGAGCTGCTGTTGAAAAGTCCCAGCTTCTAACACCCAACAATCTAAACAATCCCAAACACAGGACAATTAGTAAAGACCTCTGCTGTCTGAAAAGATAGAGATCATTATGTCAATCATAACTGAACAGGGATGCTTTCAAATAACTTAGCTCCATTTTTTTTTAATCAGAAAATTTCTCTAAGCAGTCTTCTTTAAATGCCTCTTCAAAGGAGGTATTTGTCAAAATATTCAAGAAGTATGAATGTTTCTATAAAAGTTTTCTTCATTAAGGACAGGGATGGACAATGGTTGAGGTTCCTCCAGAGTCATGGGAGAAATGGGCCAAACTGCTTGGCAGAGTGCAAACTAAAATATATACTCCTTTGCATACACATACATTTCAATACACATATGAAAGATATGGCTTTAATGCATAGTTGTTTGTGCCCTTTGAGCACTTTTGTCTTTTCCCTCTCCCATTGCAGGGTTACCTTTTTAAAGGATTTATGGAAGCCATGCAAAATCCAATCTATGGCACGGACAGAAGTGGAATGGTTACATGTTTCAGACCAGACTTTGATCCTGAATGAGATTTACCTATGGAGTCACCTAGGGGAAAACTACTCTCATTCCTATCCTTAGAACATCCCCAAAGAGATAAAAATGATATTGCCAAAATTCAAACATTTTGCTCCCCAAATTTCAACAATGCGGCCTCAGGATGCTGGGCTGTCACAGATGGTGGGCTGCTTGCACTTCATGTATTAATAAAAATGATTTTATGATTACTTTTTGTCTCAAGTAACATATTTTTCAGATCAACATATAGTAGACATGCTGAATTCTGAAAAGTAAAAGTACATTATTGTAGCAAAACTCACACAAACACACACAGCATGACATGTGTAATGCAAGCAGCCTTGAACATCTGTTTGGATGGAGCACTCTCAGCTCTTCATCACAATGACATGTTTCTGTAAAATTGGAGGAAGATTTACCTCAGACACAATTGACGGAATTGCTGTCACTTTTGATGAACCAAATGATAGTGCAGGGATTTGAAGGAAATAGTAGAAACACTGAACATGTAGTATCTTATAGATAGAAATATTGAGTTCTGGAAAGTTATGTTTTCTCATTCAAATGCATCAATGTGATGATAGTAATAGTAAATGAGCAGCACATTTCACTATTATTTAGCATAACTGGCAATGTGGTTTACATTATATCTAAGCAATGCTACTCCTAAGATGTCCTTAAGAATATCTTGTTTTTACTGTTGACAAAGATTTTACTGGAATACTGATCTCTTACAGATAGGTGATGATGGTCATGATGAGCATGCTGATGTTCATTTCCTGTGGTAAATTAATAAATGCAATGATAGTCTCTGGGGGAAGGCAACTAAAGTTATTACCACTAAGATTAGTTGTCTCCTATTAAAGAAAAGCCCAAAGCAATGGTAATGTGTGGCATAGCCTATGATAATTTAACTATACTGTGCCATGTTTTTTCCCCCCATAATGCAGATAAAATGTCAGCAGTAGACAGGAAAACATCCACCAGTTACTTTTCATAACATTGGACAGAGCTGGGACATATTCTGGTTTTGTACAGGTGTATTCAAAGATAGCCCAACTATCATCTGATGCCAGCTAATATTCTAGTTTCCTTTGGATATCAGATAAGCAATATTCCAGCATAACATACTGTAATTTCAAAATTTTATCTGAATATCAGGAGATTTGGTTAAAACACTAATCAGATACTAGGCAAGACTGTCCTATTATCAAAGCAGATGATTTCCGGTGACAAAACCTAGGGACCAGATGAGAAGGAAATGTTCACACATGTCTAAAGTGACTGATACATGTAGTGTCATCCTAATTCTTAGAAATTGCCATGACTGTATATTGCTGGGACATGTTTGTACTGATGCAAATGGAGAAAGAAGGTGGAATCATGGTCAGGTGCAAACGGAGAAAGACAAGGGGATCATAACATAATAATGTCATAACACTATTCTAACTGAACTATTCCAAGTGAGTTCTACAACATTTCCAAAGGTGAAAGATTCCCTATATCAGGATTCCTCTAGTTGGTATATCCTTAGATATGTTAGAAAGCTTGCAGCTTGTCAAGAATTCTGGGAGCTATAGATTCAGAACATCTGGACAATCTCAGAATCAAGAAGGCTAATATATTCCAGGAGAAAACATATTGAAGTGTGCAGATGATATGGGTGTGCTGTTCCCAAAATGCATGATCATACATAAGTCTACAAATAATATTGTTTTAGGACACAAAAGGAGGAAACTGTCCCAGGCCTCACATATGAAGAAATGTGGCTACTCAAGGTATGGCTTACTATTTGGAATGATGGAAAAGCCAAAAGCTTTTAATTCAAGCCCCTAAAACCTATCAGTTATAATATAAATCTCAGTATTTTGAGTTTCCTCACATAGTTATTGAGTCAGTGCACTCAATTAATGTTTTGCTTTGGTTCTGCTTGGCAGTTTGCCTGAAACCATCATCTTAGAAGAGCCAGCCCATGAGATTTACCAATTTGATGTGATTTTGGGCTCACCTATCCATTTAATGAAGAACTGCTGTGTTCCTACTGGACTATAAACAACTTCTCTTTGGTGTGGAAGTTAAAATGAAATATATTACTCATTGTTCTAATTGCCATGTAAGAAAAATATACCATGCCTTAACAAAGAGGGTATTTATCTTGCTTTGGAAATAAATGTCATAAAAATGAAGAACAGCAGGTACAAAATATTTCAGTAGGGTAAGAAAAAGCCAGCTGCCCATTTTAGCATTCTGAACTTGGCTGTCTCAAATGTGCAGGAGAACATTTAGCATTGCAGCTGGTATTATTTCTGATTGAAGTCTCTTCTTAGGGCCACAAGTGCTTTATTTTCCTAAAGAGCTATCTGAATGCTTCTACTTGAGACATTGATTCAGACGAAGACTTTATTAAAGCACTTAACAAAGGCAAAAATGAATATTTAAATGAGATGCCCATATCTTTTAAGCTTTCTGTAGCAGCTACAGAGCTGATTTCTGATCTTACAAATGTAAGTCAGAGTCAGAAAATAAAACACCTTTCTTGGATTCTAAAGAATAAAAAAAAGAGGGAAACTCCATCTTCTCTCTCTGTCATCTATCTATCTATCTATCTATCTATCTATCTATCTATCTATCTATCTATTTATCAAGTATACCACTCATATCACTTACAGCGACACTGGGAAGCTTACAGTACTGTATAACTAAAGGTTAAAAAGTATTAAAAACAATTAAAATCAGGAAAAAAATGACTGGAAAAATTAAAAGTTAAAAACCAAGAAGATTGGCAGCTTGGGGGGGGGGGTGAGAATCATTTCTACCCAATTAGGCACTTCCCATGTAGCAAGCTCCTGTCAAAAGTCCCAGGCCTAACAAGTTTAAGTTATTCTGGAAAGCGAGGAGTGTGGGGGATTGATTTCAGCTCTGAGGGCAACATATTCCAAAGGGTGGGGTCCTGGAAAGTGTTGAACCATACACTCGTATCTGTTTCTGTGTAGATCAGTAGCTAGATATTTTTCATTTTCTTAGTCCTAAAGTGATAAAAATAGGTCACCAAACCAGTTTTTGTATCTGTGGGAGGTCTAGAGCTTTTGTCTTTCCCCTTTTGTTCCAGCACCATGCCAATATTTTTTGGCAACATTTTCAAAAAACTTTGCCACTAACTTTTTCATAGGATTGAAAATGATGCCTCATTCTAAAATTTAATATTGAACACATTCTTAAATTTAGTTGACCATCGTATCATCAGTGCCATGCAAAGTACAATTAATTTATATCGAATTACACTTTTTTCTTTCATTCAACAATATATTATTTTTAAAAATATATATATATAATTTTCTCCTCCACTGTCTACTATCTTAACTTTTACTTAGGAAACAATAAGTCTCCAAACATTTATGCAAAAGGATTCATTAGTAATGAAAAGGATAATGCATACGACAGAGCAAGTTCATGTTTGAGATTTGAATTAGGCCACATGGTTATGAATGAAACTGCCTGAGTAGCTTGATTGAGCAAAGTGAATGATCACTGACTCCTGTTATAATTAAATGTTAGTTTTGGACATTACCCATTTATCATTGATGATATTGCAAGAAGTGATCTAAAAAAAACTGAAACAGAACTGAATAGAGCCAATTGCATATTTCAGTTAATCAGTGAGATTTTTGTGGATTTAAATATTTAACAGGCAATTAATGTGTGGTACTTGGTGATCCAGAATTTAAAACCATTGGAATGTGCTTGTTTGTGTGTGTGTGTGTGTGTGTGCCTCTGTGTTTATGTGTTTGTGTATGTATATGCACTGGGGGGAAAAATCCTTCAAATTTTGCCTTAAGCAAAAATCACTTGCTCAACTTGTCACTCAATTTACATAGTGGGCGTGAAAACTGTTTAAGGGGCTCCATGCATTTTTCAGCAAGTGTGCTGTCATTAATTAAAGACTAGCTGGGGATTGATTTTCATTTATAATTGAAATACTGGTTTATGTCTAGCTTTTGATCACAAGCTTTCAGGCTAATCTAGTTATCTCTGCCAAAATAACTTATTGAGCACAATTGGGTTTACTCCAGAATAAATTGCATAATACTGAACTGCTAATTCAGAGATTTTTCCAAGGGTTTTGCATGTGTGTGTGTATGTATGTGTGTGTGTGTGTGCGCGCGCATGTGTGTGTGTGTGTGTCCTTTTTTGTTTTGGAACTGTTTGCTATCCTCCTAATTTCTGGATGTATGTGAAAAGGATAGATTGCAAACTGTAAGTGTTAAATTTCTGGTTCAAAGGAATTCACCAGCAATCCATGACTTCTACCACATAAACAGCTTAAGCAGCAGACTTTCATTTATTTTATGTCTTCATTGGTGGTCCTGCTGTGAAATTATGTTTGGGTGTACTCTAGAAAATTCTATTTATTTGGGTACTATTTGCAGAAAACCCTTTTTCTCTTTTTCCTTCTTAACCGTACTCATTGATATTATAAATGAGCATGTGGGGATTGCTTCCACTGCATTTTCTCTTTGTATGCTACTTTGAATCTACTCAAACTTTTGAGTGAGCATACAATAGCAATAGCAATAGCAGACTTATATACTGTCCCATAGTGCTTTACAGGACTCTTTGGGTAATTTACAATGTCAGCATATTGCTCCCAGCAATTTGGATCCTACAAACCAGGCCTTGCTATAGGCAGGAGATATCTATCTTTCCCCCTTTTCCTTTTAGCATTAAATTTCTTTGCAGACACATACATAAACACACACTATAGCTAGGGCAATTATCCTTAGTCATCCTTCCACTTAGTTATACAATTTATTTTCTATGTAATACCTGATCAAACCATGCAGGTCAGCTAGCAAGAAGTATGAAAGATTTTACTGTGGGTAAATGATTAGCCATGACAAAAGAAAGAAAAAAAGAAAGAAAGAAAGAAAGAAAGAAAGAAAGAAAGAAAGAAAGAAAGAGGGAGGGAGGGAGGAAATTGTCAAGTTAA